ATTTAACAGCAGATGCAAAGATATAGAGATGCAACAAAAGCATTCCTCAAGCTAAAACAATGAGACAGTATTGCCAGTATAAAAACTGACTGTATATTGGCAATAATCAGGGGGTTTATGTGAGTTGAAAAGCCTTTTGTAGGTGTTTCTGCCCTTCATGATCTTAAATACAACACTAAAAAGGCCACCAAATATTGCAGTTTAAACATCTCTCCTCCATCCTCCAAGCATCAGCTGGAAATAAACACCTTTTTTTACAAGGCATTAGTAAGTGACAAGGAACTTTCCCCCTCCCCCCCAAAAAAATTCAAGTTAAGATTGGTCTCAGCATTACCTTGCACAGTGTATTCCTCATGGGCTGTGGAGGGCAAGAGGGAAGGGTTCAAGTAAGCATGGTCTTTTCCTAAACTCTCCATTGATCTTCTCAGTTTTAAATAAAAAGCAGCTTAGTTCTTCAGGCAGGGCATACAGAGTTACTGGTGCTGCAGAAGGAGACCTTAAAAAAATACAGACTGCCCGCCCAAAATAGCTTATCTGGCTGGGCCACTGGTAGGGTAATAATATTCTCCTTATGATGCAAAGGTGTGGAAGTCTGTGTCCAGGTCCTACTGCATGCCTACAAAATGCATTAGTGCTTCTATACAGCAAGTTATTACTCTCCATATAGGAAGTTTACAGTTACTGCTGCTAAGCTGTGATTCAAGCCCCCTTCTGCTACATGGCAGGGCATGCAAATTAATCTACATGAGTCACTTGATGAGTGCTAAGGAGTTATGATTCTCACAGTGGCACATATAGCTGTAGGGAAGCTTGTGTGTCCATGGTGGATCTGGCTGTCTCCGTTGCTTTGGGTAGCACAGGAGCTGGTGAACTGTGGCTCTGCTGCCGAGCAACTGCATCTGTTCCTGCCATAGCTCAACCCAACTTTTTGCGCGCGCGCGCGCGCACACACACACACACACACAGGAGAAAGAAGTGCGTCATTAATCCAAAGCCTGGTGAGGTCTGATAAATGACTCCTGACTCAGCAAAATATTACTAGATGACACTGCAGAGTTGGTACTGTGACGTTATCCCCATCCAGCCAATTCACACAGCAATTTCTAGCAGGGTAGAAACCAATAAAACCATAAAGACCATCTATAAAAGAAAGGATGGCTGTGGCTTGGGGGTCTCCATGGTTTCTGGCCAGATCTTTAGAGGTGCTTAAAGGGGTACACAGGCTTTAAAACCCTACTGAGCCTCTGCCTGCATCTCTTGGTGCCTAGATCCCTGTCAAAATTTGGCTCTCACGTGAATTGTTTTAAACTCTAATGGAGCAATTTTACCATCTCTCTGGGAAGACCTAGGTGATGGATAATAGCCTGGAAATTATGGGCCTCATAGTCTAATCTTGAATTGTCTGTACTCTAAAGTGAAGAATGTGTGACAGACTTGCCTGAGACAACAGTGGTGCTGGGTGTGCTTTAGAACTGATATTCCTCCTCTGTGCCCCCCTCTCCACCCGCCAAGCACCAGTGATACAATGTTCTCTTCTCCTCTAACTGAGCTCAACACCAGACTCCAATGATGTGTGGGAAATCTCTGCACCTCTTCTGCTGTTGGGGGGGGGGGGGGCAGTCCCCTCCAGAATTTGGGCAAGGGGGTTAAACTTTATAACCAGGCTCAGTTGCGTAAATTTTCATGATTTGGCCAGATTTGACAGATCTTTGGCAATTTACACCATATCGTGCTAGGCTCTGCTTTACAATCACACCCTCCCACACTACCACCGCCACCGCCACCTTTACAATTCAGCTAACCCCAGGCCATATCAACTGGCATTTCTAGCTTCCCTGGCCAGGGAATAGAAGGCACTCAGCCAAGCATCTGTATGGGACTCCAAATACAGTGATTGCTACAACTTTGGGAGTGTCATTGCCACCTTGTAGAGCTGCTCAGTAGAACATCCTGGCTTCTGGCATACTTTCTTGTGGTGCCTGGTCCTCTCTGCTCCTTTCTCTGCCCAAACATGAGAGGAACATTTTGTCCAAGCGACAACTGGACCGAGGGCTGGACATTGCCACTGGGCATGTTTCCTGGCTCTGCCAGAGCTGCTGTCATGGCTGACTCAGCAACACCAGGCTTGGGATCTGTGTATAAATCAGAGCGTTTTATGAACTTTGCTAGTATTTCTGCTTTCCCACTGCTTGGAGCTGCCACAGCTGGAGGAGAAAACAGGCAGCAAGATGATACCCAGAGACATACTTATCTCTCCCTATAGAGTCATAGGCACAGCCCTAACCCAAATTTATCTAGGGAAGCAATGTGAGTGCCCAAGAAAGCAACATGGTTATCTCTCCCAACAGATGAGGATTCGGCTTCTTCATGTTTTCTCCTTTCCTAATAAGGACAGGGAAGCAATCCACAGGCTTTTCTGTTCCTCCCTAACTCAGGGCAGGCTGGAGATGACTCAGCTGAGCATAATACACCACTTTGGGAGAAGGTGCCTTCCAGTAGCTTCATGTAATAAATTGCTGCACCTGTATAAGCACCTATCCCCCTCCCCACCTGCCTTGACCAAAGCATCTTTTTTTTTTTTATAAGAAAGAAAACAGATGTATAAATTCAGTAGGCAAAAATACACATGCAAGCAAAACTTTCCTCCTACGCTCCAGCAGAAGGGTCTGTACAGCCAGGGCAATATGTTTCCTTTGCCACAGATCAGTGGGGGGGTCTTGCTACTGACTAGCTGCTTCCTGAGTCTCCCTGAAGTTGGCCAGCCACAGACTTGCTGGACTCAGGCTCTCTGGATCCAGATGTTCTATACCATGTCCACACTCCATAGTAGCGCTAGATTTCTCTATTTGCTTCTCCCCAAGGGAATCCCCTTGGATTATCACCTAGATTTTATCAGCGTAAAATAGGTAAATCTGCTTGTCAGGTCTGTGGTAGCGTTACAAGGAGCAGTTTTTAAACTCCATGGACCTAGGCCCAGCTTGATCCAAATTCAGCTCAGCATGGAGTCCTCTGCTAGTCACAGACATCTCCCTGTTCCCCCTCCAAGTTCTCAGAGAGGGAGGAGGAGCAAATGTCCTCAAATTCATTGAGATGAAAGGACAGTGTTATCACTAAGCCTACCCATGCTTTGATCTCACAGGCCCAGCCCACAAGTACATGTTTTAGTACTGCTGTTTCTGAATACACACTCTATATTGTACTGGATGCATGCAGTTTTCTTCAGCTCTTTTTATTGTTTCTTTCCTAACCTCTTTAAACAAATATACACAGCCCTCAGGGATACACAATTACTGTGGTGGCTTGCTGTTAAATTGCTGTGCTGCTCTGTATACACAGCTTGTACTGCCTGTCTCTCCACACAGAGGTGAGAAGTTGGTGCCTCCTTTCCAGGTGAAGGGAGGGGGGCAGCTACCCTCCATGCCATGCCAGGGGGTAACCCTGTGGCACAGAGCAGAGATAGAGCTCTCTCAAATACATCCTGCCTATAGAGCCAAGTGGACAATCAATTATGTGAAGAGCACTTAGAGTAGACAAACCTGGGGAGACAAGATCAGTGATGATTGGATTTTCACATCTGCATTCACTGCAGAAGAGTTTGGGAACAATCCCACACCAAAGCCCTTCTTGCGGGGGAGGGGAGACGTCATCTGAAGTTGTCCTTAAGAGGAAACACGGGATAAACCAACAATACCAACAATAACAAATTTCCAGGACCAGATTATGGTCTAATCTCTCGCTCAGTACCTGGGGACTGGAAGGTGGCAAATGCAATGTCAATTTTTTAAGAGAGGCCCAGAAGGATGTGAATATCCTTAAGCCTGTCTGCACCAGACAAATCAGTAGACAATGTAATAACAGAAGTAGCAGACACATGGATAAACAGGATATATTTGACACTGTGCAGTTCTGGTCCTCTCCTCTTTAGAAGTGGAAAAGGTCCAGAGAAGGGCAACAAAGATGATTAAAGGTCTAGACTGGCTCCTAGACAAGGAGCAACTACTCAAACTAGGACTCTTCAACCTGGATAAAACTATTAAGGGAATGTGAAGAGAAACAATTGTTTACTGTCTTAAAAGTTCAAACCAGAGGCATTGAAGGAAGCCAATGGGTGGTAGCTTCAAAACAGAGAAAGGAAGTTGTTCATTGCAATGTGTAGTTACCTGTAGAACTCCTTGCTGCAGTTGTGGTAGATGCTAGCAGTTGATGGGGCTTCAGACAGCAACTAGACCAATTGGAGCATGGAAGGAATTTTAATGCCAGCAACCACCTCTGATCCAGGAAATTGTTGGTGTTCTGAAGAACTGTCCCTACCTATTTGTCCTGTTATTACATTCTTTTACAGACATCTGCTGTCAGTCAGGATACAAGATTAGATGGATCTCTGATCTGACCCAGTATAGCCATTCTTATGTTCTTCAGTTCTATTTTTCAAGTGCAGCCTTAAATCAATCAGTATTGGTCTTTTCTTGCACTAGAAATACTGAGGCTACCCACACAAAGGTTACAAAAAGTTGCTGAAGTGGAAGCAGGCATTGTCAGACATGGGGATGGATTATGTGACTAGCTAGCCAAGCATAGGGGCTGTAGCACTGGCAGAGCTCCTGAATTTACAGGCAATCTTAGTCCCTAGCAAGATGGTTACTGGTCTTCCTGGAACTCTCTTCATCATACAATGCACCCCAGATCCTACAATCAGGAAGCAGCAAGGGCCAGTTGCTCCCTAAGGGGAGCCAGGAGCCAAGGGTGACAGCAAGGCAGGCAGGAACAGTAGCCTCTCAGACAAGGGACCAGTCCCACAATACCCAAGCAAGAAGAATAGAGAGGCCAGTGATGATAACCAGGGTCAGTCAAGAGACAAGTGATCAGGCAAGTCCATAGTGACAAAGCAAGTCGGAGGACAAGCTAGGAAATCAAGTCAGCAAGGTACATAGCCAAGCACATTCACAGTACAGATCAAGCAAGAACTAGAGGGCTGAGCCTGAGCTGAAATGGCTCTCCTGGGCCATGGGCAGAAGGTGTGTGGGTGGAAGTCCCAGATGAGGCTGTTCAGGGCAATTGAGGCCTATCCGTGCACTCAAGGCCCTGAAACCTATCCTGGATGCTTACAGATGGATTGTGTGAGTATACCACTGAGTCCCAGCAGCTTGTTCCCTTGTGGGTATGCATAGAATCATCCTGAGTGTTTCATTCACTGGGGAATGCTTTTCAGGGTAATGTGTTGCACTGTTAAAGTTGATCAGCTATCTCAATCGATCACTGTCTAGAGGTATGATGCCTGGAGCAGAGCTGACCCAAACTCAAGTGGAGGATCCTATGATTGCCCCATGTCCTCTGAACTCTGCCACTGGGGTCTGGGACAAATGGGATCCCCCTTGTTTACCCTAATGGCAAAGCACTGTTACAGGTATTTAGTAGAAAAGTGGCTTATGTCCAAGCTGATTGGGTAGAGGGGGAGAGGGAGTCCCAG